GTCGCACTCATAGTCATATTTAACAACCAAATATTTAGTTTCAAGCCAGAATAGTGTTCGAAATGGCGCAATCAACGATTTCATAGTAGTATAATCTTGATTGGCGAGTGCAAGACGAGTGAGACAAATATGATCGGAAGCTTCATCTCTATTCGACACCAGTCTTTCGCGATGACTACGATTATTCTCATCGATGAACTACAATCTTAAATTCCATGCGAAATACCACTGATAACAATGAATGAATCATTGTTTATGCACATTAATTAACCTTAGATTTAAATCAAATGATGACTGAAAATATTCAAGAAAAGATAAGCGTTGCTTTACATTTTTAAATCCTGTTTTTTCTTCTTAAAAAACTTCGATAGATTATTACTATTTTACAAGACCTTAATTGTTGTCAAAAGCCCCTTTATTGTTACTGAAGTCCTCGAGATCATTTTCATTGAAATTCTTGACTTATCAGAATAGATAAAAGAATCTAAATCATCAATTAGATTTCGTACTAGATCCAACAATGCTGAAAAAGTGACTTGTCTTATCACCCATGTTTCTCCAATATACAAATAGTGTCATAAATAATTCGACGATAAAATATTTCAATACTTTTTCTTGAGTGCTCGTCAAATAAAAAATAATTATTACTGTGATAATAGAGAACACTCGAGTTATAACGATTTACAGAGAATGCTCAAAGCTGCCACTATGTACTTCAATATAGAAAATTTCTTATGCCTACTTCTAAAATAGAAATTTTAATGGATGGTTCAAAAAAATAATTAAACATTTTAAGTCAATATGTAATCCATCAGTGTATACCAATAGACCGTAACAATTTGGACAAGGTTCATCGTCTTGTTCTATTGTTACCGATATAGTGAACCTTTGGTTAATTCTGCTATGAAGATAAAGGTCTCAATCATGTTAGTTTGTGAATCGAATTCCATTGCCATCGTTCAATGCATGAAGCTTTCGAATAATGGATATTTCAGAAACAGTACGCCGAAAAGTTCTATCATTTAGTGCAAACGTTACTCTAATTGAAATAGTAACACTTTTTGGAAGACTATAAAAATCTCACCAATGGAAACAGCATTCAGCCATGTAAATACATAATCAAATAATTACCATCATTATTTTTGATTAAAGCGCTGAAAAAAAATTGTATTGGATCACTTTTAGTATGTCGAAGAGATGGAATTGATTCAATATGTTTCGAGAAAAATGAAAGTAACTTAAAACATCTCTTGTTAATATTGTAGATCATTTATTGTTTAATAGATAGTTATAAACTTTTGAGTCTGTACATTGATATAATGTTAATAATGTTGAATCTCACAATAAATTTTAGTCAAAAGACGTACATATGTATTTTGTGTAAATCATTCGTTTCGCTGTGGTTGTCCGAAATGAAGCCTTGCATATGGGATTATTAAAAATCGAAGCTCTCCGATAAAGGGTACTCGAACATATTGTTTAAGATATAGTTTGTAAATTTTCTACGTCGATATTGACTGCATTTAAACAAAGTTCTTTCATTTAAATATGAATTCTTTAATAGAACGTCTTGATTTCATAGATAAATAATCATCTGTATTGATTTTATGATTTTTGTTTGCCATAGAAAAAGTTTATATTTTTTTATTTTTAGACTAATTTAACAATGAAGTATATATTTCGAAATGTGAAAGAACTTACGCTGATGATTAATCAAAAATGGCCCATCGATTCAATTGAACATCTTTCAACGATTGTTAATCTATCGAATCTTCAAACAATATGCTTGAATTTCCAGTGTGAGTGCAACTTCGCTGTTAGTTTGGATGTTGAAATGAATGCTCTATTCAAGCGAGCATGTAATCTTCGTTCAATGCGAATAATTTGTAATGATTATGATTATGAAGAAATGACGTTGATAATTCACAATGCTATCGGTTTGAAAATACCATGTCATATCAAACAACTTGATATTGAAATTACGCATGTAGACGATGCCAAAATAATATTGGAAAGAGGCAAACATCTGTCAAATGTCACATTTCGACCGCTTGGTAATGGAGAGAAATTCGAGGATAAGATTACTAGTTGGCTCACAGAGATTGGAAGAGATTATGTATATAGATTAGATTGGGGCTTTTTTTGTAACTGTGAATACTGTTATTCAGTCAAAGCAGTGTAATTGTGGCTTGACAAAACCATGCATAAGCAATCGAACATATCACATGGGTACAAACGTGTCAAGTTAACTCGAAGCCTATCATTAATCATAGTTTATTGGCTTTATTCATTTAGACAAGCATAATCTCAAAATATCCATGGACCTACAAATCAATTCATTATCTAAAATATTTTTGCTTTAAATAAATATGAATAATTTGAAACAATTGATCAATTTAATTTAATTTTAATTGAAACTAAAGATTTTTATTCAAAAAGTTTTTCTTTGAATGATTTTAGACCACTTAGAGTATTGAGCAATGTTCTTTTTATCAATGGATGTTTTTCATATATCAAAATATATTTAGAAAATAAGACTCATGATTACGTTAACATCGGAATGAAATATTCACATTATTAGATTTAACATAGATCAATTTGAAAAATTTTCCTTAAGATCTTAACTGAGTTTGAACATTTCATATTTGTTAGAATGATCACCTAATTTACATGATTCATTCGAAAATTTGAAAATGAAGTAAAGCCATGTTGATATTTTTGCTAATTATATTGAATCAAACTTAATTTCAATTCGTCAAGATTCATTTATTTCACTCTGACCGTCAATTTGTTTGTGAATGTGGCCGTGCAGAACCGTATGTAATGATTCTCTATGAGTGGATGAGCGTCCATTCTGTCAATTATGCTCATGACGTTTTCCATCAAGAGAGTGGAGGGAAAAATAAGTTTTCTGGAAACTAATAGACAGCATTCAATCACTCAGATAGAAATCCATTACTATAGTCTTATAGTCAGTAGCAGATACTAATTATTATTTCATAATCTTTAAATTGCAGCAATTATATCAATAGATTGATATAGAACTATGTTCTTCACATAGAAAAAAAATTGAGCTGGCTTGAAGTATTACTCTTTCCTAACTAACATATCGAAGCCAATACCCTTAGAATATTATCTCAAAACAATTCAAAGTCCCCAACTGTCAAGATACATATTTCATTCAAGAGTAACGGTCAAGTGATGTTTGGAAATAATCGTTACTCAGAGCCTAGAATTGGATCCAATTCCGTATTATTCAGTATAGAATATTATGACATGTCACTCTTGATATCAGATGCGTAAAGTCATTTCCGATCTCATCATACATTACTTTTTTTTTATCATACCTGTCTGCAGTGGGAACGGTGGATACTCAATAGTTCAGCAATGAAGAACATTCATTGATACAAAACGAAGGAAAGAATACCAAATTGACTGAGAGATGATAAATAATCATCGATGAATATCTTTTTTTTTATTAATTATTTAAAAGAAATTCTCCTTTTTGCACACTATTTTTTATGTAACATTATAATCAATATTCGAAAATATTTCGCAGTTTCGGTTCATTAACGCAAAGGTGGTATTTTAGTAATAGTAATAAGTATTCAAATTCCAAATACTACTCTCTTTGAATGTAGAACAAAACGAAACAGTCTTTGATACAGTCCAAGTTTATTATACACATATTCAATTTGGTGCTTCGTCTATTGATACATCCACTAATTAGACTAACTACTAGATAATAAGAAAAAATTAATTTGAACCTTGATGTTCTATTTGTACATTCTATAATGAATTTTTTTTTGAAATAAACAGTGGACATAAAGCTAATGCCTGTCCAAAAATTAAATGGCCGTGGGTTTTTTTGGAATAACTCCAGAACGAAAAGAGCTAGAGAGATGCGATTTTCACCATTATGTAGCCATATGAGTACTTTATATATTCGTTAAGACATGCTGAGAATCCTTGCAAGTTCAGAGTTTCATCAGTGCCGATCTTTCAAAGAATATGCAGTTTTTTAAAGTTCCACAGAGACCTGTATATCAAAACTATGCAAAAGATAGCCCAAATGCTCCTCTACAAAATGGCACAAGGTCTACCTCTCTAGTTTTTGTCGTTCTCAAATAACATTNAAACCCGCTTGGTTCGCTGTCGTTCATTTGCTATTGCTATAATTCAATTGCTTCTATGTTCTTTGGCTATTTTCCTCCAATTAGGACTTGTTTATAGTTTGGCTAACGGATCTGGATCTTCATCATCGACAACTTCAATAACAGTGACAACGACGATAACATGAACTACTACAACAACTACTACCCCTCCAGCTACAGCTTGGATTCCAAGTAATGATAGTATGCCATGTTTGAGCACATGAATCACTGTTACGACGGTGACTCCATTGACACTCATTGCATCGTGAACATTCAAAAACAATACAAACGATATATCGGGCAACGGATATAATGGAGCCATTATAAGCGGAGCCGCATTTTCAACAGGATATATAGATCAAGCTCTTTGTCTTAACAGCTCTTTATCTCAGGATATTATTGTACCGCATATTAATTTTATACCCACAAACTTCACCGTGGAAATGTGGATCTATTTATACACATTGAACACGTTGGACGTAGGTCTTTTCGGCGAGTGTGACACCCATCTTACTGATCGATGTCTCGATTACATTATTCGAAACTACAAAGTATATATGGGTTTCTACGGAGACGATCTCTACAGTGTAACAAATCTCACCACTTATTCTTGGTATCATATAGGTTATGTTTATGACTTTGTCAACAATGTACAATCGATATACTTGAATCGGTTATTAGAATCAAGCAGGACACCTCTTTCGTCATACCTCGGCCAAAATTATGATGTTAAATGTAAGTTATTTGATCTTTCTATTTCAAATATTGATATAAATTTTTAATATAAAGTTGGAATGAATGGACTAATTATAACAAACAACTTTAGTAAACTGCTCGACCAAATAACGGTTACGAATTGAGTTAAAACACCGTGCGAAATACTTAATGATGCATCGCTTATCGTTTATTATCCATTTGATAGTTCGATTGTGAATATTGGATCCAATGTAATCACTGCTACAACTACTCCGCAAGCTAACAGTTGCATCANGTCGAATGACGGATAGAATCAATCAAGCAATCCATTTCAATGCATTAAACTCGTATTTTTAGTCATGTGACTTTTGGGCCTTGGGTCAGAATCAAGCTTATTCCATCGTTCTATGGATTAATTCATCATTTCCAGCTGATACAGTGTTTCCTTTATCGACAGCGTCCGTAGGCTGGGGCACCTGGTGTCTGTCAATGATTGGATTCAGTTCAAATGGATCGATTATCGGTCAAACTTCAAATAATAACGCTCCTTTTGTAATCGGACCAATACCTCCAACAAATGCACCGACTCACGTTGTGCAAACATGAAGTTCAACTAATGGATTGCAATTGTGTATCAATGGAGACTTGTATGGTTTGATAGTGGTCCCCATGTTCGCAGTTGGAGGTGCCTCAATGTGTGTCTTATTAGACACTCATGGATTTTTTAATATTAGGGTGTGGATGTAGAAGTAAGCTAAAAGAAGACAAAAATTGCATCGAGCCACATTCAAACCTACATCTACCTCCACCAACATCAATACTCACACCCTTTCATGTGCGGTTGAATAGAATGAGTGATTTTGACAAAAGAAATACGCCATCAAAAAATTTACTAGTACCATTATTTATGCATGAGATTTAAAGATTATTATTTTGTTCACGCATGAGAGATAAATTTCGAGAGTCAAATATAATGTGCTCGTATATGCAAATATCAGTTTACATTTTGTCTCATCGTAATAATGCGAAAGGTAAAGGAAAGGAAAAAAAGAGAAAAAGCACACAAGAAACAACTCATCCATCCAAAAAAATGTGTAACTAATAAAAATCTTATGCTTCATCGATTCAAGTAAACATACATAAGTAGAAGAAATAACAAGTAATTTTGTCACAGAAAAATACAGAGTAAAATCAGTTGCAAGCACACAAAACGAAAGTCGTATATTGCAGTATCACTTATCAAGTAAGTATATTTAATTTTCAGTATTATTAAACTAGTGATAAAATTAAAATTGAAACTAAAGAGAAACTACAAACGAGAAAAAATGACGTGATATGAACATGAGATATTTTGATGATCAGAAAGTAATGTTAGAAAAGCTCCGCTTGATAATACACAGAATATGCGATCGATTGTTTCGATTGAAATAGCTCTTAAACGTAAAATAGTTTTACTGTAAATCATATCAAACACAGTGACTTTTTGCTATGCATACATTTCAACGAGAATTTGAGTAGTAATAGAAGACACGAATTTCACTTTTAGAACAATAGCATAGCAGCGGATCGAATAATCTATAATAGAATTTTTTCAATGACATAGGCGCACCAGAAAAAAACCTATTTGAGTCTTAATGAACACAATTAAAATCTAAGATTTGAACATCCTAGCAAAAAGTTCTTATTCACAGAATAGAGGAAGCGTTCCAATGTCTCAAATGTCACACATAGCCAGTGCTTTCCACAAAAGGTACCCTATTTCGACTGCCATATGAGCATTGATCAAAGAATGCGTATTAGGATAAATTTCATCGATTAACTTGTTTTCTTTCCAGGAAAAATCTCTTGGAAATCATCTAGAATAAAAGAAAAGCTTCAATGAAGAAAATTTGCAGGCAGATGTAATTATGTCAACTTTCACTTTAGTTTTGAGTCATACCCAGTGAAAGATATCAGTGATTATAATTTCAAAATCTTATGAACATAATCAAAATTATAATCTATCATAATTTTGATCTTGTTTCATAATAGTAATGGCAAAAATCGGTATATAATTAAATTCAACTTGATTTTGATTTGTTTCTTATACTGTTGTACTGGCTTGTAAATCAGCATCTGATTACTTATTAATTAATATTAATAAAGGAGATGAAAAATTCCTTCGGATCCAGATTCCTTACTTGAACAATATATTGCTATAGGTCTATTCCATGCTATTGCCAGATTGCGTTGTTGAGCTGGAAGGAATGATAAACATATTTAAATGTGTTTACCATCGTGTATCTCTTGTAGACAAGGAACTTTGGGATGAGAAATTAATCGACATTCCATACGCAATATGAGCGCTCAAAATTCGAAAAAAAACGTTTACTCATCAATAATCGATGCATCTGCAACATCTTCAGTCATTATCAATCGACGAAAACAAGGCCGATCGCAAAATTATTTGCTTATCTGGATCGATGACAATATTGATCTAAACAATAAAGATTGTCAAAATGCACTCGCGCTATTGCGCAGCGTCGTTAACGATGCCAACGTATTTCTCGAACCGGATGAATGTGTTGACTTCCTTACTGAAGTCGATGACGTAAAGGTATTTCTTATTGTAGCAAGTACCATGAGCCAACAAATGGTGCCTCTTATCCATGATATCGCTGTTCTTGACAGCATTTACATCATTTGTGACAACGAAGCACCACAAAAAGAATGGACGAAAGAATGGTCTAAAATTGAAGGTGTATTCACGACAATCAATTCAATTTGTGAATCAATGAAAAAAGTCGCCCGTCAATGCGATCATGATACAATTCCAATGAGCTTCGTTTCAAAGCGAACGATGGCAGCCGCATCAGGTGAAAAAAATCTTGATCAATTGGAACCATCTTTCATGTATTCACAGTTGTTCAAAGAAATTGTATTGGAAATCGATGAAGATGATGCAAAACCATTGAATGATCTAATCATCTATGCCCGTAACAAAAATATTCCCGAGCAGGAACTGAAGCGATTGAAACGTAGATACTATCAGAGAACTCCAGTATGGTGGTATACATATGAATTTTTCCTGTACGGGATGCTCAATCGCGCTCTACGATCACTCGACATGGGAACGATGATAAAAATGGGCTTCTTCATCCGAAGTCTTCATCGACAACTGGAGCAGCTGCATCATGAACAATTTGGTACATCTAACAAAATATTTACTGTTTATCGTGGTCAGAGTCTCAGCGGCGAGGACTTCCAGCACCTAGTTGACACGAAAGGCGGTCTTCTTGCGTTCAATAATTTCTTATCGACGAGTAAAGAACAGGGTGTAGCTATAAAATTCGTGAAGTGTGCGCTGAACAAAAATAAAGACATCGTGGGTGTTCTCTTTAAAATGAAGGTGGATTCAAGTAAAGTTTCAGCTTCGACGACACCATTTGCACTTATCGATGACTATAGTGCTATTTCACAAGAAAAAGAAGTACTATTTTCGATGCATACTGTTTTTCGTGTCGGTGATATCAAACAGACGACAGAAAATAATGGTCGTCTCTGGGAAGTTCAATTAACTCTCACCGACGATAATGATTCACAACTGGTCAATCTCACAAAGCACATGCAGGAAGAACTCTGTGGATCCATAGGATGGCATCGAATGAGTAAACTAATGCTCAAAGTGGGTCACTCCGATCAAGCTGAACAACTCTACAATGAACTACTCGAGAATGCTTCCAGTGACAGTGAACGAGGATATATATATCACCAACTTGCAGAGGTGAAAATGAACCAAGGACTATACAGACAATCAGGTTTATTATATGAGGAATGTCTCAAGATCTACCGAACAACTATTCCAGAGGATCATCCTTCATTTGCTGATCTGTACAACAACATCGGTGAAGTTTATAACAATACCCGTGATTACTCGAAAGCACTTGAGTATTTCGAAAAATCACATCAAATAAAAGAAAAAACTCTGCCTCCAAATGATTCCTCATTGGCTATTTCCTATAACAACTTCGGTTCCGTGTATGACTACATGCATGATTACTCAAAAGCACTTGAATATTTCGAAAAAGCACGTAAAATAAACGAAGAAGTTCTGCCTTCGAATCATCCAAATTTGGGTATTTCCTATGGAGCCATCGGTGGCGTATATAAAAATTTGGGTAACTATTCGAAAGCACTTGAATACTATGAAAAAACACTTGAAATTCACAAGAAAACTTTACCTCCAAATCATCCCCATTTGGTTACTTCCTACAACAACATCGGTCTTACGTACAACAACATGGAGAACTATCCGAAAGCACTTGAATATTTCGAAAAAGCACATCAAATAAACGAAACACAACTAGCCCCAAATCATCCCCATTTCGCTACTTCCTGTAATAACGTTGGTCTTGCGTATAGAAACATGGGTAACTACTCGAAAGCTCTTGAATACTTTGAAAAAGCACACCAAATAAAAGAACAAATTTGGCCTTCAAATCATCCCGAGTTTGCTCTCTCTTGTAACAATATCGCAGCAGTGTATGAAGATATGGGTGACTACTCGAAATATTCAAGTGCTTTCGGATAGTTCTCCATGTTGTTGTACGTAAGACCGATGTTGTTGTAGGAAGTAACCAAATGGGGATGATTTNACAACAAATTCAAAAAAGGGAGTTGGGGGGGGGGGGGGGGGGGGGGTGGGGGGGGGGGGGGGGGGGGGGGGGGGGGGGGGGGGGGGGGTGGGGGGGGGTGTGGGGTGTGGATGTGAGTGTGGGTGGGTGTGGCTGTGGCTGTGGCTGTGGATCAATGAGAAGAGTAACACCCACATCGACACCCACGCCCCACACCAACACCCACACCCACCCTACACTGTCGCCCACTCCCGCCCATATCCACATCCATCCACACCCTTTTTGAGGGTTTCGAATTCGTTTCAATAAAGGTTCCATGCGGCACCTTTTTTTCCGAGTGCACCCCACACTCACATCCTCTTTTGCGAAAAATATAACTGTTATGAAAAAAAGACTCCAAGTCCAGCAAAATGAAGAATGAAAACAGTTTGCCAACGAAAATTTGAATTGATTTACACCATGCACACATATGAGTATCCATGCGCATTTAATCAATGCCTGCGCTCTAAAAAATTTAAACAATGTGTATTTACACAGCAAATATTGAATTCATAAATGATTTATGCAATGTGAATCAACTAATTCCGCATATCTTTATTCTGCTTAGTTTTCGAAAAAAAACTCAAGTAATCTATTTTCATGTTTATATAGTTTTTGCTAGAAAGCAAGGTTAAAGCAACATCAAAGTATGAAAAAATGTAAAGAAGAAATGATGTCTGTGAATGGCATATAAACCAATATCAGATATATAAATAAACTCAATTACCAACCCAAAGTTAATATTCCTTTTCGCGGAATTTTGTTCTTTTCGACGATATTTTGCGCCGATTTCAACATCGTCGAATAAATTCATAATCAAGTAATGAGTCTCGATCAATCATACTCTGGTCTACACATAACATTTTCTCACAATTAACGTAGGCCTCGGTAGGACACATCTTCTGACAAAGAAATGCCGAGACTAAAAAACTCGGAGGCCGAGTTAGCATAGACCACCTTGTTCGTTGGTACATAGTGCAAAAGTAGGCATTTCGACTGGACGTCTTTCAAATGTGGTCAAAACAAAAACCTAACATTAGATTCGTGCTCACCGTCAAAAAAATGAGTTGGATAGAGTATCTGAGAATGTTTCAGAGGGTCTTCCGGATATCTTCACCGAACACGATCTCTTACGCCAAGCTGAATTAGAAATCTGATCCCATATTTAGACCCTACACGTCAACAAGACATTCGTTTTGTAGTCGCATGTCACTGCGCTGAAAAACCAATCGATATCTTCGTGAAAACTAACTTGAAAAACCAAATTTTGCAATGAAAAGCTCCTTTTACAGTCAAAAAGTCAAATTTCAATTGGCAATTATAAGAAACTGACTGAGATTTTACTTTTAGTATTGCTATTTACAAGGCTCGCCGAAATGAATAAACACATGTTGATTGGATATTCAAAATATTTTTAAAGAAGAAAGGGTTCCACCAACTTGCATGAAATCTCTTCCTTTTTTGACATGTCAATACAAGCAAAAACATGACGATGAAATGAATGACGTTATTAAAACATTGCAATAATGTTTTGCCCATTCTCAAACGGTTGGAAGTGCTCTTTTAGGGTTTCGATGCATCATACATAGGAAGCCGATTTTCGTCTCAATATCTCTGCTATACGTCACCGGTCTACTATTTAAAATACATTCTTGTGTACTCTTAGACTCAAGATTCATAAAAATAGCGAAATGCTACTTTGGGTGTGGGTGTGGATGTGGGTGTGCAAGCAGAAAAGAATGAAACCCACACCATTCACGCACACTCACACCCACACTCAACAATTCATGTTCAAAATATTGAGAACAGAACTGAGCAGTGCGGACATTTTTCAGTCGAGCTCCGGCTCTCAACACAGCAACGCCACTGTAACTCGAGCATCGGAGTCGAAACTACGCAGCCCTGCTCGATATATTCTTCTGTTTTATTCTAAGAAATTCAAAAATCTGATTAGAAAATCATTATTCGATTTTGTTCAGATCGTCTTCTCCTCGATGTCTTTTTGGACAGAAATGTTGATAAACAAGCATACTTATAACAGTCTGCCCTGTAACGGCAGTATCTCTTGTCCGAATGGCCATAATCAGAGTCATCTGGATGCGCAAAGTCCGCGCGATGATCAGGATCTTTTCTATAATCAGATAAAATAAGAAATAATCACCATTTTATGAAAAGACTTGTGTACAAAAAGGAAAGAGCAGTATAGGAGACTCATTTGCCTTCATTTCTAACTGCACGAGGAATATGATATAAAAGTCACTTTGCATTTGTTGAATTCGAGTTAAATTCTGCTGCAAAAACAAAATTCTCAGTAGATATTTTGATTTCGATGTAGAGCTATGTGTATATGCTGAAGCACAATTCTGCTAGAAGATCAGAAATCTAACTAAATTCTCGTTAACCATTTCCTGCTCTTTGGGCACTATAGCGTCCATTTTATAAAAATTTGGTTTTCTTGAACTAACAGACATTTAGAAACATATTTTATATCAGATTAAAACCTATCTATTGTGGACTTAAAATCAACATTCTGAATGTAATCTATATTATAAAAATATTTTTTTTAATGTATTCACTGACTACATAATGCTATGGCACGCACTGTAACTCATGAGAGAAATACTTGTTTATTGAATTGGGCTCAAACTTTTCCTGCGTCTATTAGGGGCTGTAAGAGTGATACTCTGAAGCGAATTATTCTTCCAAACCCTCAGGTTTAGCCAAAGACAAGAAAGGGTTAAATTCTATGGAAAAAACATTACTCTAAGCAGAATTTTGATCTTGACGTAGAGTTATGCATATATGATGATGTACAATTCTGCTAGGAGATCATAATTCTGGTTCAAATTCTGCTGTACAAATAAAATTCAAAGCAGAATTCTGCCACTGATCAAAGAGGCAATGGTGTTTATCTATTAGAGCAAAAGTGGATGTGGGGTGTGTGGGTGCAGATTTACTCTCCATGCTCCCGATCACACCCCCACCCGCATTCACACCCACACCCACACCCACCCCACCTACGCACCCACGCCCATGCCTAGATTTCCACCATTTCATACAAGTTTTGCCGTGCACGAAGTTATGAATGTATCATTTCACTGTCTACTGTGATGAGTCAGAGTGGTACATATTAATGATATCAACTTTGCTCATCCATTCTAGTTCAGCTTTAACTGGAAAGGCTCAAAGCGGCATCTAACTCTGAAAGTGTAAGGCAACTCAAAAGGTCACATATATTCTTAATGACAGATGATCCTTTTTAACTAGTTTGCTTTTGTTTGCAGTTGTACATAGGCTTGTGATTGAGTTAGAGTGTGTTTCAATAGAGAAGAAGAATCAATATACAATAGGAGTGAAGCTGACTAGTAATGCAATTCAATTCGATATCATTCATTAGACGAAGATAAGAAATGTTTCTGATCGAAATCAATAGTGTTTTCTGTTTTTCTGTTTGCATGATTTCTTTCTCATGATGCACAGTTTTTAATGCCATGAAACAGTGCTGATGAAATTGAAACTGGTTTAAAAGCATAGTTCTTTGTATAGATATGACTGTTTTTTTTGCGCAATTCTGCATGTTTTTATGTCCTATTTAGTGGAGAAGTTTGTGATTTTATCACCTTAATTGAGAACAATTGAATATTCTATCGAGGTTAGAGTGAAAGAATAAGAAAAATAGCTGACTCATATTGTGCAATTATTTCCACAAATCTAATTTACCACAAATATTCAATAACTCTGTTTTGTCATCTCAAAAGCCTGCAGACCAGACCAGGCCGCAGGGCAAGTAGTTTTTCTTGGCCTGACCTGCTTCTCTTCCAGAGCAGGCTAGGCCAGACGACCAGGTCAGAACAGGTGAAAAAAGTGGTCCGTTGGAAGCCATGCTCAAGAAGCCAAGTAGGATACGTTTACAGTACATTTATTTTAGTAGAATTGAAAACTGCGAAAAATACAGAAACAATAACGAGGAAAATTAGTCGAGAATACAAGAGGAGAAAGCAAATAATTTCAGACTACAAGAGAATGAGACAAACTAATTCAGCATGCAAGAAGAGCGACCTAACTAGTTGAAAATGTTCGTTGATATTGATGATAGTTGATGGCAATGTCCGATTTTTCGTGTGCACTTGTGTTTATGCCATATGTCCTACGAATTAAAAGGGTATTGATTTAATCCAAAAATCACAAAATACTGAAAATGATAAACTCAAAGAATTATGTGCGAATAGTGAAATACACATATGGTTTGATACGAGAGCAGGAAAAAAGAATGCATCGAATCATACGTAAATTTATGCAGTTCTTCTGAGAATTTATATCTGTCACAGACTCCCTTCATAAGTTTCCATGGAATGCTTCTAACAACACAACATACCTGGCTCATTTACCGGGATAGTATTCCCATATTTTGCTCACTTTGAAGCCAACTTCTAAAAGTACTGATATAAATGAAGATCACACGGCAAATGAATTCTTCTAGCAAGGACACTATTCGAGCATTTGACTTACTTTCAAGCCAACTTCTAGAGGCACTCATATAGATGAAGATCACATGCCAAATGAATACTTCTAAACAGAGTGCTATTCAAACATTTTGCTCATTTGGAAGTCAACTCGTAGAGGTACTGATATAGATGGAGATCGCATGCCAAATGAATACTTCTAAAGAGAATTCTATTCAAAATTTTTGGACATCTTGAAGCCAATTTTTGAAGCACGTGATATAGATGAAGATCACATGGCACATGAATACTTCTAACAAGTGTACTACTCAAATGTTTTGCTCACCTAGAGCGCAACTTGCATGGGTACTGACATAGATGGAAATCACATGGCAAATGGATACTTCTAACAAGGATATCATTCGAATGTTTGACTCACTTTGAAGCCAACTTCTAGAGGCATTGATATAGATGAAGATTACATGCCAAATGAATACTTCTAAACAGAGTGCTATTCAAACATTTTGCTCATTCTGAAATCAACTCGTACAGGCACTGATACAGATGGAGATCATATGTTAAGTGAACAGTTCTAAGAAGGCTTCTATTCAAATATTTTTCACACTTTGCAACTAATTTGTAGAGCTACTAATATAGATGAAGATCACATGGCAAGTGAACAATTGTCAGGAAGCTTCTATTCAAACATTTCGCTCATTTTTAAATCAACTCGTAGAGGTAATTATATAGATGGATATCATATGGCAAATGAATCCCTCTAACAAGGATACTATTCAAACATTTTGCTCATGTTGAAGCGAACTCGGAGGGATAATGATATCGATGGAGATCATAAGTTAAGTGAACAGTTGTAATCAGGCTTTTATTCAAGTGTATTGCTTACTTTGAAGCCAACTTATAGAGGTACTGATTTAGATGGAGATCACATGGCAAATGAATACTTCTAACAAGGGTACTGCTCAAGTATTTTGCTCATTTTGAATGCCAACTTGTTGTAGTACTGATATAGATGAAGATTACATGACAAGTGAACAGTTGTAACCATGCTTCTCTTCAAATATTTTGCTCGCTTTGAAGCGAACTTGTAGAGACACTGATATAGATGCAGATCACATGGCAAATGAAGACTCCTAAACAGAGTTTTATTCAAGCATTTTGCTTCTTTTGGAGGTAACCTATGAAGGTACACTAATATAGATGCAGATCACATGGTAAATGAATACTTCTGACAAGGGTGCTATTCAAACGCTTTACTTACGTTGAAGCCAATTTCAAGAGCAATTCATACAGATGAAGCTCACATAGCATATGAATACTTCTAACCAGAATAATATTCAAATATTTTTCCACTTGAAAGACAATTTCTAGAGCACTTAATATAGATGAAGATCACATACCAACTGAATACTTCTAACCAGGATACTATTCAAACATTTGCACACTTTGAACACAATTTCTAGAGGTACTGATATAGATGGGTATCACATGGCAAATGAATAGTTGTAAGGAGGCTTCTATTCAAACATTTGTTTCACTTTGAAGCTAATTTTTATGGGTACTGATATAGATGGGCATCACATGGCAAATGAATGCTTCTTAGTGTTAGGGCTGTATTCGAATACTGAGGTATCTTTTATATGGGGTTTGTGCACTGAGCTGACGAATAAAATCTCGTTGATAATGAACACACCGTACGTTTTTTGATTAATTGATCGAGATTTCTATTGCCAACCACATCTTGAACTGCCGCCGCTCGTGCTATGCAGCTTGTGACTACCAAAGCCAAGAGGACGATCAAACAAACCATTTGACTGATCTTCTGCATTGTTATGTGTAAGTGTACAGCTCTTGAGGAGATAGTCGTAGATGAATATGAGGAATTATGTAAATGGTATGTTTCTATAGTCGTGCTTCGCCTTTATATATATCTCGATCGTCTAGTAAAAAGGAACCTTCGAGAAGAAAACCTCTCAAAAAACGGAAGTGACTCACTAGTTTATGGAGCAGAAAAAAAATAAGAACGATTTTTTCTCTCACTCATATTATTCGACGTACGTTCACAGAAAAAAAAGAGTATAAAGGCTTCGCGCCGCGAGCAAGTCTCAGTCACCAAGTATTTTTAATGGGTAAATCGCGCGAAAGAGTATTACTCAGCACTATTCATTATTTTTTGTGCGCCATTCGTTGAAGAAAGCGATTGTCGATATGAGTGAGTGTCTCCTATGTATAAACACATTCATATCCTCGTTTTCAGGCTGTGGATGGATGCGGGGGTGTGGGTGTTCGTGTGAAGTCTGATGAACAGTAGGCACACACCCACATCCACATTCACACTCGACACACTCAGACCCACACCCACATCCACATCCACACTCGACACACTCAGACCCACACCCACATCCACATCCACACTCGACACACTCAGTCCCACACCCACCCCACACCCTCATTCTATGAAATTTATGCAATCTTTTTAAATATTATCTTTTAATAGAATAGTATTTATTATGATAGCACTGAGCTATTGAAACGCCATTTGGAATCTACTCATTCAGTTATATTGAAGGATTTATAGGTTTTAAAATTAATAAAGTATTCGGAATTATGTTTACATTTAGTGAAACGTAACTGTGGCGGTTTTACTTCGTCTTTTTTAGTGTTTTAAAGTGCTTCTAAGATAAAAAAAGGTAGGACATTTTTCTTTTTTTGCAAAGATTCAGTTCTGCTGATCAGCTAACCTTATATCTATCTTCATGTAAAAACAAAGAATAAATTGAAAAGAGAAAGAGCTTTCGGTACTGTTATGGTGAAAATGACTTCAATCGTCAAATTTGTAGAATTCCTTTAAAGTATTTCAATAACAATGCAATCTGTGACTAATAATATCTAACAAGATTATTCTGTCGTTTCATATGAATATTTCAATCGAAAGTGTTGAATTAATGCAAAATTTTGATCAGAATGATTAAATAAGACGTTTGATAAAGCAAGACAACGAACAAATTTTAATATCAAGCTGATAGATATATTCTATGCTTAGACAGAAATGAGATGGAAAATGTATGTCAAAAGAATTACATTGAACTTCAAGTTCAAAAAGACACTAAAGGATTATTATATAAATGAGTAAAATAAGACATAAAAAAACGCATACTGTTGAAAAAATTATTTTTAACAAAAAAAAGTAGATTTTCATATTAATTGTTCTCAAAATAAATGCAGCTTTCAGCTCAGTTTATTGACAATGCACACATAGATGTATGCAATCAAAAAAACATTCAGAAACGATGCTAAATATATCAGCCATATGCGGATTGTACTTTAAGTTTTTTTTTTCACGGTTTATGGTATGTTGCTTTCTATAGCTATTAAATTCTATACTGAAGCCGTTGTCTGGGCTTGTCTATCATTAACAATTATCAAAAAAAGCCGTGTAGAAGTGTAATTATATTATGTGTGGATGGACGAACCATTAGAATCTTTCGTGCATGTGAAAAAGTCAGAAATGACACTATTATCACGTAAAAGTTTGCATATGCACTGGCTCTATATTGGTTATGCATTCAAAACGGGTTACAGAAATTTCGGCCCAAGGAATTTTCGGTCGGGGCTTTTCGCCCTCACCCTCACTTTCACACCATCATCCTGAGTCCGAGCCAAAAATTTCTTGGGCCAAAATTCCGGGCTCCCTTTAAAACAAAAGGCTATATTTACATAATCTGTTTTATACGACGAGCTTCTTTACCAATCGATCATCAAATAACGTAAGAATTTCACTGAAAAGTATTGAATCTATGATCTTATGGTAACTTCCAGTGGCAAATGTACTTGAATGTTCACAACTTCTAGAGAATTCAAAATACTGAGCAAGTTTAAAGGTAATACTGTGTAGTTGCAGAGAAGTAAATCTATTTTAATCAAGCATTAACAATTGCATGTTGAACAGAAAACTTAATTCCTTGCATGTGTCATTGCTGGTATTGCAAAATTTCTCAGATCAACTTAACATTGATTTAGTATTAGTAGTAGTGAATACGATTTTCTTTGTACAAGTTTTATGCCTTGCATTAACATGCAAGAGTATCAAATGCGAGTATCTGCAAGGATAAAGATCGTGCACGATCTTTCATGAATGACTCGAAAGCTTAAAAACTTGTCTGGTCATATATATGTGTTGCTAGCATGCATCTTTGTACATGTGCTATTGTGCTGTACTTGTTTGCAGAAAATGAAACTAATTATATGGAATAATTTGCATCATTGAATATGCGAGACAAGGAGACAAAAATAAAACATACTATGGCTTAGACATACTAATGTCGGTCTTTTCTTAAATGTCAACCACCATTTTTTGGATAACTTTCAATAATTTCAAGTTATCGAGTTCAATCTTTCACCATTAGAGAGAGTAACTTTGGGGATGCTTCGATCTGTATAAGATTGATTAGGGTCAAAGAAATTTTTTATGATAGATCTCTAATTGATATTTTTTTTTGTTGCCCATTTTTCACGAGTGGTCATAGAGATCTAGGGTCAAATTATACCAGAATATACCGTAGAGAGTTCTACATTTGTTGCAAAATCTTCACATTTTAAAGCATCATATTGTATTCGAGACAATGGCAGAAATAACCAGACTATATTCTAATGTAATTTGAGCCTAGATCTCTATAAAAACTCACGAAAATGGGCAACAAAAATATATCAATCAGAGATCTATCATAAAAAACTTCTTTGATTCTAATCAATCTCATATAGATAGATATCACCAAGGTTGATCTACCTAATGATGACAGGCCGAATTCGATAGCTTGAAGCCATCAAAAGTGTTTCAGAAAATGATGGTTAGCATTAAAACACAATCAGACAATAGTTTGCAGGGGAATGTGAGTTTTATAAAAAGTTTCTTTAAATAGATACATTCAGCTTAATAATTCTGCTTAAGTGCATTCTCAAACAACTTTGTTCGTGCCTTTCTTCTTCTTACTTCATTTATATCGGTTCTTTATTCTTTTATTTTGTTGTTCTATTCGGTCTTGTTCATTTTTATATATAATCTTTGTTTCTTTTTTGTTTTGCAATAATCTGTCGAAGATTTAAAAATCATAAAAACTTATTATCACTATTGCTCATTATTGTTAATTGTTAATTTTCAATATTGCTTGCATTCTCATTTGTCATAATGCTAGTTACCATGTACAATATCAAAGTTAGTACAAGCCGTTTTAGTATGTTCCTGGTGAGTTGAGAAAGATTTCAAAATTTTTAATTGTAATAGTTCAAAAATAAAACAACACTATTAAGTATGCATTTTAGTCTGGCAATGGCACCATCCATCTTGCAATGGCTATAGGTAACACTGTTGGGTTTTGGCTTCTCATTGTTTTTCTGATTCCGTCAATAATCTGTAGTATTTTCGATCTTTATCATTTTGTATTCGATCGGAAACTTCGTCAGGCGCTATACAATCATTCAGTTATTATTATAATTTTCTTTTGTTTAATCTTTGAATGTACAGACATATTTTGGCTTGTTTATAATTATAGCACTGGTCATCCGTTATCATCAACGAAAACCTTTTGTTTTATTTGGCATTTTACTGATCATATCGGTTTTCTTTTAATATCTATCATTGTTGCTTGGACATCAGTTGAACGTCATATTCTGATTTTTCATGATAAATGGTTGTTAAGAGGAAGACGGTTTTTTATCCATTATCTTCCTTTAATTATTCTAATTAGTTACTCATTCTTATTTTATGTAATTGCTTTTTTTGTTTTCTCAAGGGAACAGATATTTAATTATTCAGAAATTCAATGTGGATACAACGACGGCCTATTTCATCCACAAATTCTTGCTGTTTGGGATAGTGTAGTGAATACTATTTTACCTGCTGTCATAATTGTTAGCTTTAGCACGGCACTTATTGTTCGTGTTTTATATCAAAAGCATCAATTAAATCAAAAAATTAAATGGAGAAATTATCGAAAAATGGCTGTACAAATGTTGTCAATATCTTCAATCTATTTGTGTCTTTATTTTATACCTATGCTTCTCTATATTGCTTATTCATTAGGTTTATCACGTATTTTTGCTCATGATTATTATGATACTAGCTTGTATCTCTTTTATTTTATCATCATTTTACTTCCTTTTATATGTGCTGTTTCATTGCCAGAACTTCGAGCAAAACTTTGTATTCTTATTCAAAAACGACAACAACAAATTAAACATATGAATGTTCCACAACTTCCAACAGCTATCCGAAAAAATGTCCATCGATCAGTAGCAGTAGGACCAACTAACGAATGTTAATATGTATTTAAAGGTGATTTGGTAAAAAGTACTATTCTTATTGTTAACGTCAATAGATGATGAATCATGATTCTAACTATTCATTATGCTATTGGTGCTTTATTTCTGTTCCTCTTTGATGTTGTCCTTTTGATCTTTCGCTATGGGTGTGGGGTGTGGATAACAATGTGGATGTTGAACATGAAGACAAGTCTCATATCCAGACCTAGACCCACACCCACACCCAGCTATAAAATAGAAATTAAATTAAATTAAACTATACAGTATCTAAGAGATCTATTTCGACTAAGTTGTTCTATAATCCTTTTTTTGTTTACATCGATGGCTGTTGTTCGTCGACCTCGTTTGAGGATAGAAATTGTTGATGGTTTTTGTGAAGATGAAATAGAAGATGAATCTCGAGAGACAACGTCATTATCTTGTATCTGTTCATGATTGATTGGATTGCTTGTTGATTTACTTAGAAAAATAGAGCAGTTTGTTTTTAGATGACAAAAATAATTCGATATCTAATAGAAAAAAAGAAAACTATTATTAAAAGGGTGTGAGTGTGGGTGTGGGTGTGGGTGGGGTGTGGGTGTGGGTGGGTGTGGGTGTGGGTGGGTGTGGGGGTGAGTTATGAGAAGAGGCACACCCACACCCCCCCCCAACGACACCCACACCCGACCACGCCCACACCC